ATAAACAAAACAAGTACAGCAAAAGATGGTTTGCCTGCATACAGTTCTGCTCTCAGGGATCTGCCTTCTCTCCCCGCACCATACTCCTTTCTCCTTCCTAATTTCTCCCCTGCAATACTGCTATAACTTAGCCAGCATCGGGTTAAGTTTTGATAATAACACTTTTCAATCACAAAAGCCAAAACAATCAGCCTGCTTGACCTCTCTTGGCCAAGAGCAGCCCATGACAAGAGCATGCAGAACTAAAGCAGCAAACTTAGGGATTCCCTCTGCCTACCTGATGCCTACAGGAGATTCTCCTTGGCCCCTAAGGTTCCCTCCTTGCAACAGATGAGCAACGGTGTAATAAGCCATGTAGATAGTCGAGTCAGAGAGAGATTCTATCAGCCACTGCTCATCCCAAGGCAAACGGGTACCTAGAGAAAAGTCAGTTATAAGATACAGTCAATATCCTTACTTACAGGGTCAATAATCATAGTATTTGAGCATGTGTTAGCAGCTTATGACTTTTAGTGGAACCTATACACATCCAAGTACTTATGCTTACACTTTAATTTTTTATGAATGAGCTTACAAATTTTGGAAGTCAAGAGAACTTGTGTTCAAGAGAACATATTCACATATTCTAATCCACCAAACTATCAGCAAATTTCAGCTCCTGGTTATCATTTTCTATAAATTACCATGCAATTATAATAGGCATGTAGAGTTGTCCTTGTTTTGGCATCTTACAAGCTGCACAAAAAAAGGCTGATCAGTATTTAAGAAGGAGAACACCCAAGAAGTAGTATTAGTTCATCCTAACTAACATTGAGCGCTTCCAGATTAACACCCAAGGCAAAGAGATGTTGCACCAAACCACTGCAATAATCCAGAAATAAAGCAGCCCCTGGTCACACAAGTTATCCTGATAAAGTATGCATTTGAAAAGACTGATTTGTGTAGCATTAAAGAGCCTTCCAAATGAAGCAATTAAGCTCTAGGTCATAAAGCACTGAGTGAGAAAAGAAGCCTTTTGTCTACCTAGGCCATATGTCCTAGAGCATGCATGCTCTTGCAGCCAGGCAAAAGTAGCTTCAAAATTTCTCCTAGTCTCTTCACAAAACCTGTAAGGAGAAAAAGAGAAAAACGAAAAAAAAAGAAACCTCTCGTAACACTAATCAGCAAACATCACTCCACTTTACATCTGTTTTCTCTAACTTACGTCTCTAGATGCTTCAAGCACTCTGATGCCTGCTTCTTCCAGTTCACTTCACCATAATCTAAATACCTATAATCAGGAAAACTTATGAGAATACAAAAATCCACAAGTAGGATGCAACTTTGCAGAAGCTTTAACTGGCTTCACTTCACTCACCACTGGTCACACAGGGCCACCACACATTCATCAGCAGACCTTGATATAACTTGTTTCTCAGGTTCCATGTAAATCATGGCTTCATCCTAAGACACGGTTAGACAGTTTGAGAAAGAACACTAAAGCTAAAATATAAGTATTTAAAAATAGTCCTGAAAATCCTCCCATCCTACTGAAAATCACCTTCTTTCTAATCTATCTTTGCTACCACACAGACTCTCTGCCTGAATATCTGCTTCACTAAACTGATTATAGTACTTGACTATGTTATCTCTCACAGGCATCAATTCACATAATTATCAAGCACAGAGACATTCTTCAAGAAAAGGAGGGAAGAAGCACCAAATACTAGTTATGCTCCTATAGAATAAAACCATTCTTAAGTGAAAAAGGTTATGCACAATAAAACCTAGACATGTTACACAACTGTCACAGCTGCCAGAAAACTGCTGGGGCCCAAGCAGCTTGAAGGGGGGCAGATGGGGACAGGGAAGAAGAGCAGAACAGTTTAGCTTTATCTCTGCCTCCACCGATCACATCTCCACACAGGATGAAGCTGAAGTGTTGTACAATACCCTGAACACAATGCTGCCGCAATAACCAGAAAGTATCAACTAAATAATTGAAGTCTCTTCCACTACTCAGCCTCATCAGGAAAGCCTTACTATATAGAGATAACACAATCACTGTCCATTTACTCCTCTCCTCCTCTTCATGAAGAGCTCCAGAACTGGAATGCCTACATGTCAGACCTTCTTTAGTGATAGGCTTGACTGGCAATTTACATCTTCCACTTTCAGCATCTTTACAATTTCAAGAATGAAAAGCAGTGCATCAGAATGTTCTTTTCTAGATAAGTTAGTGGTACGAAGCAGGCAACAAGACATCCCTCTGAGCACTCATTCCACTTAATTCAAGAACACAGGGCCTCATTTTAACAGTATTTTGTACTCTGCAGCTATCCTAAGGGCCATAAAAGGGGTTGCAGAACAAAAAATCATGAGGTTTCTTCAGCTCTTGTGAAAAGACAAAATGGATAATTCAGAAGTGGCATGCGTACAACCACATACATTATCCACCATCATCTTCTGAATAGGTTTCTTGACATCTTGAACTTTCTGTCCTTTGAATCCATCCACCAACATTACCTGTAAAGCAAGGGCTATATGAGAGTTTATTTTTAAAAACAAAGAATTAATCATTATTGCAATCTGACATGCAAAAAAAAAGGAAGCTTAATTCTTTACTCAAAGTAATTTTGTATACTTTTCATCATGCACACACATGTACAGAATCCCAAATAACTAGTCAGAAATTCAAAACGATGCCTCTCAAAATTTACTTGTAAGCAACACTAAGCATTACACAAGCAGAGGTCAGATAAAAGCATCATTTTGCTATCATTTCCTATCAATTCCCAAATCAATACTTGAAACAAAAATGGTATTTTCTCAGAATACAATAACTTTCTAGAAAGTCAAATTATGAACTTCAATTTGGATCAAACACATCTTTCTACAATCTTATTACTACCATTCCACATAACTCCTCCACCAACTGCAGAACTTCACTTGTAGCTGAATTCTCTACAAATAAATTGACCAGAATAAACAAAATAAAAAACTAAGCAAAACAAACATAAATAAAAAGTCAGTTTTTATTGTCTCCCCCCTGCCTTTTGCCTTCCTAATCAAACTCAGCAAGCAAACATACTCAACAAAATTTCTTTTGCTACTTACTCCCTCATAAAATGCTTTCAGATATACTCTCTCCTTGGCCTCAGCAAGTTTCTCTCTGTCATTTTGACTCTGGATTTTGAGTTCATCACAGATAAATGGAGCACAAAGGTTGCCATAGCCTGGCATTTCAATGATGGGCACCTAACAATAAAGAAAATCATGTCAGATATCCATTTCAAATTACATGAATGCAGTAGAAAGTTCGCGAGTAATTTTCTCATAGACTTCCCTTTCATGTGACAAACTTCACTGAAAAATACACACTGAACAAAATAGAGCCAGGCATACTTTTCTTGGTTTGTAATCTGCAGTTTGACATACAGGCTCAAACCAGAGAAGAATGGGGGATGAATAATGAGGAATAATTGGAAAATATTTGTTGTGCAATAGTTTGGCAAACTATTTGGCATACACTATTAAAACAAAGAATCCCCAGCGGGTGCTGGTGCAAAGGCAGAGCTCCCCCCATCCTGCGGTGCGCTCTGCACTACCTGTTACTAACCAAGTAAGGCAGGACTTCATGGAGAAATGGTGGAACTTCACCCATGGAGAGTTCCTGATAGTCCTCAATGTGACACTAGTAAGTGACAACCCAGATTTATTTCCTGACATAAAAGACACCAAACACTGAAGCTGCTGTGCAAAAGGATGGACAATAGAGAATACTGGGGTGACCTGTAACCATCAATTTGCTAGCTACCAAATTGATTCAGATACGAGTCTGCATTAACAGGAAGAGGCTTTAGCTCTGTAGAGGTAGTTAACACAGCCTTTCAGGCCAGACTATTACCGGAAGTTTTAACTAAATAAAAGGTTATTGGTATAACAATGTACTATATCCTTAAAAAATACTAATTTCCACAAAATTTAACACTATCTCACATCTATGGCATACAGCAGCAAGTTTTCGTGGCATCCCCTAACAGACCAACTTTTACAATTATAATGAAATATGACATTGCTCTATGAACATTCCAGTTCTTTCAGATGGGAAAACTGCAAAGACAATTCTAGAAGCAGCAGGTACATTTACGGGTGCTGCAAAGCCCTGTGTACTAAGGGGCACAGGTTGTGGCGGACTTACCGGCTCAAACGGCAGGACCATTTCATCCTTGATGCCATACTTCGCCCTCAAAGCCTTGGAAAGTTGGAAGAAAAAACATGCCAGAGTATTAAACGTGGAAGAGTTTTCAGGCTTTCTTGTACACAGCATTTCACCATAAATCAGACAAACAACTCCTTCCCTGTGTGCTGACCATTCCTCAGATCTGAGTTTAGTTCCTGTATAATTTCCAGGTGGTTCTTAGTCATAATTTCTACATTTCTAAGAGGAGAAAATACGTCATCTTTCTACCCTAAAAATGAGCATGACAAAGAATTTCAATACTCAGTTGTAGCTACTTAGGCACATACTTTTGAAGCTACAACAGCAACTCTAAGTCTCATTTGAAATGAATATGAAGTCTTAATCTTATCTACAGGAGTCATTTCCACAACAGGCATTCATTTCTAATACACTAATAGAATTCCCTCTGCTAAATTGCAGAAGAAAATCAAAATCAATCCTGAAGTCTAACTGGGTAGGGGCGGGGGGAAGGTAAGTACAGGTTTGTTGATTTTAACTCATTTATTTTTAATCAGTTTGATTTCAAGTTAGATATCGTAAAACTCCAAGCACAGAGTTTCGTTCTACTCACTGAATATCCCACTCTTCTCTCTGCATGCTCTGGAGAAAAAACAGGAACAGAAATAATTCAGAAAACAGACTGACCTGTTTTTTTTTCAAATCTCTCAGGGCTGAGATATCATCAGGTGAATCAGAGGGAACACTTGTTACCACTCCAGTTCCTTGCCGAAGAAAAGAAAATACAACAGATATATTCAATAAAACATGTATTGAATGCACTGGGTGCAAACATGCTTACGCAAAATGCAAGATATTGTACCATTACCTTTATCTTCCTTAATTGTGAGCATGGGAAGAACATATATAACCTTGTATAGGGTCAGAGGTGCAGAAAGTGCAGCACCAAGAATCTCCTATGCAAGGCAAAGGAATATTATCATTAGAATAAGCAGCACGGTTTCGTCCTAGCTGAGTAAGCTTGAAGAAACAAAGTATACTGTTTTCTACTTTATACAGAGCAGGACCAATACAGACGAGTTTTGGTGAATGGAAATTGGATGATGTAAACAGCATCTGTATTAGGATAAGCAGATGACACTACATTGTTATTCAAGGCACAAGGAGATAAGGATATAGCACTTTTTCATGTAACACTTTCTGGCTATTACTTTTTCTCCCCTTTCCATTTTCTGTAGAGAAAAGTCACTATTCCCAGAACATTACTTAAATCACTCGTTCGTCAAGTAAAGCTAAGGCAATGGGAATGCACTTGTGTACAGGTTATTAAACCTGTTTAATCTCCCAGAAGTAATCACAGCTTAGCTGCCGAGGAAATTCTCTTTTTTGCTTGTTTATTTGGTTACTTAGCATTCCAAAATATTTTTCCTAGTATCTATTTTTTCTTTGCTTTTAAATTGATTTTTACCATCACCTTTACGTATTAGCTTTAGAAGAAGAGATAAACAGCCAGCAAGCTGCCAGGTGCTTACTTCTCCCATCAGCTCCTTGACAACAGGTACAACTCCATTATCTTTTGTGAAGCCCTGGTAGGACATGTTCCTAGCAGCTCTTTGAGTACAGATAAAAATATCTCCATTGCCAGTTTCAAAGCCAATGTACTTCATATCTGGTCGAACCCAGCAGTTAGTCTGTCCAAACATGGTCTCTGGTCTGAGCGTGGCAGCCACCAAGAAGATATTTTTTCCTCTTAGACCACTGGAAGCAAAAAAAGTATTTTACAAGTCACCAGAATAAAAACACTAAGAGCAACACTGAACTTTTTTTTTTATTATTATTATTTTATTATTTTTATTTTTATTTAGCAAATGTTGCTTGTGGTTTACATTAGCTTAAGGATAAAAATGATCATTGCACTCTTTCTCCATTTTTGTATTTTGGAACTCCAAAGTAGAGTTCCATACAGGGACCAAGTGTTTGGAGTGACAGAAATAACAAAATGAAAATTTAGCATCAGACAAAATAAGCCGTTAATTTAATAGTCACTTCTAGCCTTAATAAAGTCTATCTGCCATTAATTATGGAATCAAGACCTACCTTAATTTTGCAGGATAAGGCTCTAGCACCTTCATTTTTATTAGAGTATATTCTTGTGGTCCAACACCCTACAATTCACATACACAAGGCAGTAATCAACACATGAAGTTGATTTGAGGCAGAGAAGAAAAATTCTATTCTGTAGTAACCAAATCCAAAAGCAACTTATTGTATAGATGCTTTCTTTAAAGTATATCATATTTCTATTGATATTAACAACTGTTTAAGTAGAACTCAAACTTGAAACAGATTCTGCTTTATCCCTCTGTCCAAAAATTTATCCGTAACAGCCACTACCCCAACAAGACAGATGCCAGTAAGAGCTTATTTCTTCTGTTTCAACAGGTGAAGTATTACAATGTACATATGATGCAGTGAAGTTAATTGCACAAACTGTGAAGTAATTACAGAAAACAGTTACAACATTGATAGTTCAGGTCAAGTACTCTCAACACAGATGTTCAAATCACCTGTCTACTCACGGTTGGGAACAAATAGATCAGTACGTACAAAATACATTTGCTCCTGGATACTTGGTTTTTCATTCATCATTTTGTAAGAAATGCACAAAAATCACTAGTAAAAATATATTACCTCTCCTGTCTGCCTGTCATGATCCATGCAAGGTTGTCCATCTTTTGGAGAATAAATTGTGTATCTAGGAAAAAATAGATTTTCATTTAGTAACAAATGCAGTATTCTATAGGCCAGGAGAAAAATATGATCCTTATCAAAAGCAGACCTCCAAATTATATTTTCAATTTGTGCCTACATTGGTTTCTATTGATGTTCATAGTAAGTTTTTACAAAAGCTCTCAGTACTGGCCCAACTTTGCTTTGAGTTTATACAAACTGTGAAACTCAAAAAAATAAGAACACAACCCCGCTACGTGACAATGTTTAGTAGAGCACGTGGAATGCAAGAATCCTAGTTATAAGCCAGCTCTAGAGATATGCAACAGGCTTTCCTCTCTGAAAGCTGAGCTCATCCAGATCCATGATAGACTCTTCATGAAAGGCAAGCAGCAAGCTTACCGTTTCCCAAATTTAATCTTATTTCTTTCTCTTAAAGTAAGGAACTGCCATCGGACAAAGGAGTCATAATATGGGTTGACATCTGTGGTAATGAAAGAACGCCTCCAATCCACCTGAAAACATGTAGAAAACCCATTTACTAGTAAGAAAATGGGATAAAGAGACTCAAAGAAACTCACATCAGCAAAAATATTTATTTTAAAACTTAGAAAGAAAATAGCTTTTCTCCAAAAACATAATGCAAATAAGGGTGCATGCTTTTAAAATAAAGAAGTCCACAAAAGTCTATACAAACTGTCTGTGCATGGTCCTTCATAGCTGAGATTTTAATAATTTCAAGGGCCTGTCTGCTGAATATGATTAGAAATTTCATTGTAGTTCTAATCATGTCACAATTATTACTCCACAATACATTGCATTTTGACATTAATTCAATATTAATTCAATATCAATATAGCATCACTATTCCTTCCAAGACTACTGTCAACATTAAGTACAAAACGGCACACCTGATATGCAAACAAAAGGTACAAGGCACAATTCATTGATTTGATTCTTGTTTTGAATTGTGATTACTGCACAGCATATAATCTCTACACAAAAGAAAACACTTCATGATCAAGACTATTAAAAGATTAAATAATACCATAAATACAAAAGATTCCTAACCTAATGTGACTATTATTCAGCTAATCTCTTCTCTCAGAAAGAAAAAACAAAAACAAAAAAGAACAAAAATAAATTAAGAAACAGGAGCAAGTATAGTCACTTTTATATTAAAATTTTACATTTTATAGATACCTTCAATCCCATGCTTTTCAAGTCCTGTACAGCAAGGGGAGGGAAATAATCTAACCAGTGCTCAGCTTCAGAAAAACTGACTACTTCTTCATCACAAAGACCCAAAGACTTCATGATCCCCCACTGATATTTAGAAGAGCCCGTCTTGGCAGCAGCTTTACTCTAAAAAAGATAATCGTGATTAGAAAATGAAGTGCATTCTCCTGTATCCATAATAACTTCAGATGTCCCAGAGATTTCCACCCTATCACAATAGTTTCTACTTCCAGGAACGTAAATTGATAAAAAGATTCTACTGTCTATTCCCAGTGAATTGTGAACAGTGAAGGTAGTTTCAGACACTTTTGCTTAGCTGATATTCAATGGTGCACACTTTGAAACGTCTGCTTTTCAACCACTACATTCTGAGATCCATCAAAATACAGCTGCAGAAAAGGTGTGCCACAGCAGGAACTGTCAAGCTGAGATCTTAGCCAAATAAATAAGTATTTTGCCATGAAAAGTAAGAGTAGTGCTGCGTTATACCCTTATAAATCCATCCTCTTTCCTAGTAACACTCTGCTCATATTTTTCCAGCTATCAACTTCCCAATACTTTGTACATCTCCACCAGTCATTGAACACCTGCAGGAGCAGTCACCATCACCTTTCCCGTTGATGCACAATAGCAAGCAACCTTAAAATTAAGGCTTATAAATGCGACAGTTTCTTTCACATACACAGTGTGGATAAGAACGTATGTCTAAAGTTTTGTTTATTTTCTTTCCCTTGTGATACGCCCAGAATCATAAATCTCATCTAAAAGTCTGATAAGCCCAAAGAGCTTTAACATTTATACTTAGCATATCTAGCCACATTTCAAAGATAAAATAATCAGAATAGAAGGTTCTCTAATCATTCCTGTTTGAGGATGGTTTCCTACAGTTTGTGAATGCTTTGCGCAGGAAATGCTCACAGTAAAGTTCTGCATCATCTGACTCTGTACACCAACTCACCATTAAGAAGTTTCCATGCACTAGAATACTATCTTTGGAACCATGTAGTTGATGTACCTCCCTTTCCCCTCCTTAATCTGCCCTATCTGGAAAAACAATTTCAATATTTGTATCATTGGTTTCTCTCCAAGGAGTGCATGGGTAGGAAACAAACCCATAACACATATTTTAAAACTTCAATAGCACAGATACAAATCCAGAAAAACTTCAATAAGTTTACCTTTTTGCCTTTTGCTTTGTCTTTGATGATAATCTCCCCTTCTTTTTTAGCAGAATTCTCCTCCTCCTCCTCTTCCTCATCAGGAAATTCAGGAGGGCAGCCATACAATTCCATTTCTCTTTTTAGCTTATCCGCACATGCCTAAATAAACAGTCTCTTAGCACTTCTCCGTAACTATGACTGAAGTAATTATCAGGGACTGATTTGCTTCAGAATAATCAAACACAAAATATTATTTTAATTATGCAGCTGCAGCTAATGCTTTGCATTCCACTACAGCATTTTAAACTTTCTTCTGGAAGTTACACCAAGTTCTAGGAGAACCTCTAGATCATCAGTGCCTGCCACAGCAGGAAGAGGTTTATAGTGACAATTGTCTTGCAAATTAAAGAATAAACTACGTAAACTTTTATTTTCTAAAAGGTACGGTCCAATTACAACTCACATTTTTAAGACTACAGTCAAGATTATAAATCACACCATCTTAATGAATTTTCAAATAAATTAAAACAATATTCTGGATAAAGAGAAAGCTATTCTTTATGTAGACCTACGTATGGAAAACAAACAAACCAAAAAACTCAGTAATTCAAACCATCTTACCTTTATAGGCATCCCAGTGCAGTGCAGACCAAATGGGAACAAACAAGTCTTTCCTTTCAGCCTCTGATACCCAACTGCAAACTAATGTAAAGTGAAAAAAAAAGCAAAATATGAAACACAAATAGAAAGGGGACAAGTTCTCAATCTTCTCAAAAAGTAAAATTCATTTTTCAGATGAATTTACAAGAAGACTGGAATACATGCCATTGACTCTATAAAGCAATTAATACAGCATTCTGTTAGTTCAAAACTTAACTACGAAACTGGCATTTAATTTAGAATAACAATTAAAAATATAATAGGAAAGGGAAATTTTTACCTCACATTTTGATAAAGAAAATGTGTGTCCCAGGTGAAGGCGGCCATTCATGTAGGGATATGGAAAAGTGACAAAATACTTTCCTTTGCTAAGAAGAAATTCAAAAGAGAATTAAAACATTTAATGTAATTAAAAGATGCTTAATTAATATGAACTGATAAGTTATTATCACCTCTCAGAGACAATAAAATAATATTTTGCCCATGAATAACATTGGTCTTTTCTTTGAAGCAGCTATCATACTAACAGTTTATTTGCAGTTAAAGAAAAAAAAATGAACATCACAAAAGAAACTTAAAGAAACTATCAAATACATGCAGCATCTTCCAAAACGATAAGAAGTTGTAATTCTGATTCTGCAAATTAATTCCTGCAAAGGTTTAATGAATTAATTTAATCTCCTACTGCCTGAATTCAGTGGTTCTAGGGGCAAGAGGAGATTATTCATCCCACACTATGACAGAGCAGTTTGCACGTATACTGCTGTGAGCTGGCCCCCCAGAGCAGCCAAGGTATTTCCCGAATCTCCAGGACACGACAGTTCTGCATCCCCCTTTGCGCTCCAGCTCTGTTCTGTGCCTTGTCTTTGCTCTTCTGACACTATCATCAACACCCAGCCACGTACAACAGAGGCACAACCACCTGCCCTACAGAAACAAAGCAGCCAAACGCTGAAAAGCCACTGTGGCAAGAAAGAGAGCAGCTGCAGAATAACTTCTTAGAAGGCCAAAGAGCTGTAATCAGAACAGAACATTAGGCTGATGAAAAATAGCACAGATTAAAAGTAGAATTATCTAGTTAAAACAAATCAGTAAATAACAGGCAAGAAAAGATAAAATTCACAGCCGTTCAAATGGATTGGAAGTAGCAGATAACACCACTAGGGAATGGAAAAAGTCACAGATAAACCTCAGGACAGATACACTCCCAGAACAAATGTCGAAGAGCTCTTTTACCTTCATTTAATGAAATAAATTAACAAAATAAATGCTACTGATGGCAATAGAACATGGAGAAAAGCAGAAAACAAGAGGTGGTTGAGACAGAGACCACAAGCATATCTACAAACAGGCTGGAATTGCAATTGCAGAAGAAACTTCAAACAAGGAAGCAGAAATACCATAAAACACAGTGGCTGGAAGTTGAAATTATACGTGATCAGGTAAGAAAGACCTGAATTTTGCACCTGAACTGATGGAATTCTACTCCCTTTAAATAAGGATTAGATTTTTCTTACGGACTCTGCTCTAGCTCAAACACAGATTATAACGAAGAATTCCTAAAGAAAGCCTTGTAGAGAAAAGCCTGTAACACAACAGAGCTTTCAGAGCCCAAGGCCACTGCAACAAAAAGCACTTTAAGTAAAGCCTTTTCCCAACATGGATTTAAACCCCACCACGAACATTAAGGACTGACTGCAGAAATGCTCACGGCAGCAACGCCTCTCCCCTCTAGGGCAGCCTCTACTGAGTCAGCTATAAGGAAGCTCTAGAAAAATACTAAAGTAAATACACAGTATTTTAGCTAGAAGTGTAAGATTAGTTTAGGAAAGCAGCTTCTCCTCTATAAAGTGGCGAAACACTGAAATTTCATGTTAAATTGCTTATTATTGTAAACCCATATAAACAAAAATGATCTACTACTATGGCTTTTAGTCAGAAATTAAGCACTAATTACAGTGCTGAATTTCAACCTGTAACATATGAATACCTAAGTACAGACTGCAGTTCTTTCCAGAAAGAAAATTTCTACAACGTGAAGCCAAAACCTACATAACAATGTTTTTGTTATGCTTCCTAATTTAGCATGCAAATCATCAGACTCTTTTGGTCATTATATATTAACTCAATTCTGGGACTAAATCCTCTGGATCTACAACTGAGAACACAAATTCCACACTGAAGTTCTCTGAGCAGCAAGAGAGTCGAACTTTTACAGTATCTCCTTATAGCCCCTCGTGTGAACAACTGCGCGTGTCATAGGCCTGGACTCTGCCCATTTCTAGGGGAAGAACAGGTTAGTCCACACTGTGACTCCACAGACTCAGAGACTTAAAGGCTTTTCCTTCCCCAGAGGGGCAGAGTGAGCGCACACCCACACTTACTGCCCACACCTCATGTAAAGCAATAGCAACTTCTCATCGCGAGGTAGTAATTTAGGCTGCAAGGGCTCAGGCTTCACCTTGAGAAACATTCCTCATGCCAGAAAGTTGAAGTCACAAAAGAGAATCTATTTTTAAGCGCTCAGAGGATATTGGTGCTGCTAAGGAACAAGACTGGAACTCGGCCAGCTCGTGCACACCAGGGCTTTATGCTGCAAGCTGCGGAAATGCCAACACACTGCACATATGAGCAGCTTCACCTGAGAGCACTGCTCATTTGAAAAGAAAGGACAGAGTTTTTTTCTGTGTTTTGATGGGGGAAAAAAATCTCTTCAAAACAGACTTCAAATAGTTGAAGATAACACCTGTTAAAAATGAGCGATACCTTTTCTGGCTCAGCGTATCTGAAGCATTAACCTCAAAGACTCGCTCATCATCCCACTTTTGCTGAATCTCTTTTTCAATTTTCTTCAGGAAATCTACTTTTGCTGTGCCTTTACGCTCCTGTGCAACACACAAAGAAGAAAAGTCTGAGTAAATGACTCAATGAAAACAGAATTAAAAGCCTCAAAATGACAAACATCTTTTGGGATCATGTTGCACCGTCTCCCAGCCCTGCAGAGTGCATTTACAAACATTTATCTGGGCTGCATGACCTTATTGCATTGTCTCATAGCACAGCATCATTAACAAGATAAGCATGCTTTTATCCTTGAGATTCAGCCACAAAAAAACATAAAACCATCACATACACTATAAAGAAAGAAGAGCCTCTTTCCAAGGCAAAGGACTATTCTAGTCAGCATAACATGCAAGGCACCTTACTAACATACCAATTATCTTACCAATATCTAGTAAACTCAGAGATGTTTGAGTTGGGCAAATAAGAATGTGTTTAAACCACACACGGAAAAAAAAATGTATGGATTTTTACTACAGATTCTTGCATCAACTTGTTGCAAAGTTCCTGCCTTTTCCTATCCATTAGGTGAAAACAGAGACCCACAGAAGCACCTGGCACTCAACTCCTCTTTAATGAGAGCTCAGAAAATGAAGATGGCCCTTTAGAAATTACAACTCTTTAAATGTTTTACCTATCAGTATTTAAACACCATCATTAAACATTAAATAGCCCTTCTTCCTAGTCTTTGATTGCATATCATATTTATAGTGTAAAAAATATACATGCTATGGGTATTCTACTCATAAATTTTGATACACAAAGTGGTTTTTTTTTTTTTTTTTTTTTTGCAAGATTCAAGCTCTATGATATCTGGGGCAGGACATGCTCCCAATTTACTTGTACAGTTAAGCATGAAAAGAAAACAGGAAAACAGACTGGTACTACCGAAAAGTAGAACGTGACTTTAAAATAAAAGCCATAAAGACACTGCTGTAACTTATAGAAAAATTCGCATTAGGGTAAGAGCGTCCTTGACCGTCTCTCAAGCCCTACGGAAAGCTCTATGATATCTGGGGCAGGACATGCTCCCAATTTACTTGTACAGTTAAGCATGAAAAGAAAACAGGAAAACAGACTGGTACTACCGAAAAGTAGAACGTGACTTTAAAATAAAAGCCATAAAGACACTGCTGTAACTTATAGAAAAATTCGCATTAGGGTAAGAGCGTCCTTGACCGTCTCTCAAGCCCTACGGAGCAGCAGCCCTTGGCATTGCCGCTCCTCTCCGATGACTGCGAAGGTCCCCACGAAGGAGGGAAGGCAGCCGCCAGCAGCCACGCGGGGCACGAGGCAAGGCCGGACACCAGAACTACCGCTGAGCAACAGGCAACGGGAGGAACCGCAAAGACATTGCTCCCAGGCGACTCCCATGCCAGGCAGGGCCTGCCAGGAGACCGGGCACCGTGAGTCGGGCAGGGGAACAGCCGCGAAGCGGGGGCCGCGCAG